CGTGTGCTCTTCCGATCTTCATCTCGATACGATCATTTTTGACGAAGTTACACTCTCTTGAATTTTGCCTATTTTTGGAGGCTAGAACAGGTGATCCTTTAATTTTTTGGACCAGTGTATATATGTATATATATTATATATGCTTATGTGTGTGTGTGTGTGTGTGTGTGTGTGTGTGTGTGTGTGTGTGTGTGTGAAAAATAATCTTAGATATAGGCTGCTTTCTTTTAAACATAAATCAACACAGATTAACACTCGAGCACATTCGAATCTTACATCGTGTGTATACGTGTAATCAAACAAAATGATGGAAGTTGCGGATGCGTTCTAATAATCGTTCAATTAACAAAAACAATTTAATTCTCGCCTTGAGAAAAGTCAAGGAATGTCAATTGATTTTGAAAATTGTAAATGGAAAGCACCCTCCTTCCCGTGCGTCGATTTGTGTTAAGTGCGTCGACTGTGTTTTTTAAAAGAAAAGTAGCCATAATTTTCTGTCGTTCATATTTTATTCAATGACTAAACTCCATGGATGGTCATGTATAATACCATACTGTATGTCCAATAGATGTTTTCTAAGCATCTGATAAATTGCTTCCGGTTGTTCCGTCGTTGGTATATGCAACCCTTGACCTTGGAAGTCAATATAAGATACGGGACTTACTACACATGCTGTTCCTGCTCCGAATATTTCCAACAGCTACAAAAAAAAACAAATTAATTGTAATATTAAACAATAAAATAAGAAAAAAAACAACAAGGTACATATTAGGAGTGTAAATCTTACCCTGTTCTCTGAATTTAATTGTATGATTTCTTTCATCGTAATAGATCTCTCCGTAACTTTAAATTGATTCCATTGCCTAGCTATACTTAGAAGCGAGCTTCTTATAATTCCGGGCAAGATCAAACCATTTAAGGGTGGTGTAAGTAATTCCCTTTCTATTGAAGATAATAATCGGATTATTAAATCGGGTTATTCCTCATTATGATGTTTTTAACAAACATTTTACGAGATAAATTTCACTAAAAAGCTTCTTACCTCCATTATCATTTATATAAACAACGAAGACATTCATAGTACCAATTTCTGTAAGTTCATTGTTTTCGCCGTACAGCCACAATACTTGCTGCAAACCTTTTTCGGTGGCTTCTTGTTGAACATGAATCGTAGGTCCATAATTACTACCTAATTTAGAATCACCACAACCACCAGGCCATGCTCTCGTATATCTGGGATCTGCAAGCAGGGAAACTCCGACTTGCCGATCTGTGGCTTTAAAATAAGATCCGACAGGAGATAGGATTACATACAATAAAGCTGAATCCGAAGTTGCGACTCCAAGTGTAGGCTATATAAAGACAAATAAAATGTGCTTAAGTTAGATTAAAAAAAAAATTTATTGAAATTTAAGAACGCAACATCACTTGAAAAAATATTTTATATATGCGTTAATTGTTAGTAGTTTAAATTTAAATTTAATTTTATTCTATTTAATTCATAATATGAAAGCAAACTTTTAATTTATATATTCAAAACATTGTTTGTTAAAACACCATTTAATTAAAAATATCAAATTAGTTATAACATATTTTTGATCACTTCAAATAAATGTATATAGTTGTATTATTATGTTATAATATAATTTGAAAAGCAGAAATTTATTGCATCAGCTATTACACTAATTTATTTCATTGGCCACATTGCACAATTTATATCAGAATTTACACCAGAAATAGTTATGCGACTTCTTCAAGAAAGTCACAAAAATCAAATTATGAAAAAAGGAAAAATTTCTCTGAATGCTGTAGATGTTATCGTAGAGTCTAAATAAATACTCTGAAGCAACACTTATCTTGCAGACAGGAAGTTAAAATATTAAAGTTAAATAAAAAATATTTCACGTGTTGAATTAATGTAATAGTTAGAGATATTTAAAATATGTAATATATTAATTTATGTTACTTTTGTAAAAAATTACAAAAGTAAATGCAGGTAAAAGATTGAGAAATATAATAAAAAAAATAAATGTATTTTTTATTAATTACGTATTAATATGATAAGAACTGATATGATAATTATGATACTCATGAAAGTGACGTCCAACTATATCAAATTTATCGGAAAAAAAAGAGAAAAAGTTTTTTGAGTGATAAGTCAAGATTACATCCAAATAACATGATTGTAGAGGCATGCATCATCTCGTAACATATAACTATGCGCAACAAAAGGCTGTGATTCCATTTATCACATATTATCGTTAGTTAAGTATTGAGAAATATAATGATTATTCTCGCGCGCGTATATAGCAGTCTTGATGACGTCCGTGACATAAGTAATGCACGAGTACTGTTTCTTGCTGATTATATGTTTGTGTAATTTAATGTACAATCAGCCATGCAATTGCATCATTTGTTGTAAAATAGTATTACAATGCAAATTATAATGAATTAAATACTAGCAGGATATTACTCTATAACACGTTCTAATCACGTAATAATTATACAATACTTAAATAGTACTTACATCGATGCCGATAAGCGTAGGACGAATGTAAAGACTAGAGGCGGTAGAATGTGGAACCCATTCTTGATCTATACTAATCAATCTGCAAATGCACTTAATTAATTCATCCCCTCTGAAAGGAGGCAGACCAGCTCTTATTGCTGAATTATTCATTCTCTCCATATTTAGCTCTGGCCTAAACAACCTTATTTTGCCATCAACACCTCTATAAGCTTTCATACCTTCGAACAACTGAGAAAAGATTTATATACATATTACTACTGCCAAGTTAAAGCACACAAGAAATTTTATCTCCGTAATAATTAATATACGTACAAGTTTAATAATCTTTGCATATCCTATAGTTTTAAACATGTTATTGAATCTAATTTCACAGATGATAAAATACCCTTCAATTGTGATTATCGTTCGAATATTTTTAATAGAAGAATTTCAAAAATTTCTATACGAAAATTTAATTTGACAAAAGAAAATTTATCAGCTTTACTTAGATATACTAACAATTAGAAAAATAATTCTATCTGTATCAAATAATTCTATCCTAATTGTACTAATTATTGAAATAAGAATACATTGACATTATAAGCACTGCGAATTATATGTACATAATTAGATATAGTAACAAAGACAGAAACAGATATTACATTTCATACTTACAAGAAATATTGCTTATATAGTTAAGCAATTTTTCAACAAAAAATATTGCTTAATTAAATAAGCAATATTTCTTGTAAGTACGAAAGAAATCTATTAAAATATTAATATATAATAAATAAATAAGGGAAATAAATTACTAAAAATAAATTACTTTTTTAAATTCTATGTTACATTATTTTTGCAATATAAAATATTATATATACCTCCACAGCGTAATGAAGCACTTTCGCAGCTGGATGAAGAACTATATTTTCGAAAGGCATAATTTCTGGTGCTTGCCAGCCGTTCATACCTTCGTAATAATGTATTTTGAGCATGTGATCAGTGAAATATTTCCCAAATGAAAGCTGATTAACATCGGGTTTAGGATTTAGCTGATCTGGACCAGCGAGACGGACAGATAAATCTGCATACTGCAAATAAGTTACACTTTCACTTTCATCTATACTACATTTAATTACTTAATTATTGCTATCGTGTCAAGTGAATACCTTAAAAAAACGTTGCGGTTGTATAGAGTTCTTGTCTTTGGTTTTTAAAGAAGAGCTCCACCTAACGCTCTGCTGCAGCTGATTAATCAGATTTCCAAGGGATAAAATCTAAAAGAAATATGTACACTTATTTCTATCTCTATTAATAAAGAATGCATATTTTCGCAATAAACAATTATTTATTATATGGAAAGTAAAAATAAGACTAAAAAATGTAATGCCCTTATCACACTTTGGACAGATATGCATTTAAAAGAGAAAAAAGTAATCTGTTATGAAATTAGATTACCAGATAGAAAAATATGTATTGATAAGAGAATCGCACCATTGCAATTCTATATACTCATTGACGTAAATATCAGCTAAGCACTATATGTAAATATATTTATTCGATCGTTCGATTAGTGTTACTTGCAAAATGCAAATTTTAATATTTTTGAAGGAGTAAAATAAGTTGAAACATTATCTTCTAGACTAAACTTTGCGCTACATAGAGGCAAGACTTATATTACAAATGATATTTGCATGCATGACCGACGAAAATTAAAAGTTTTTAAAATGGATCTTCGCTTTTCAAGAACTTTCAAGACTAAATTCTTTTGACCAATAAGCATTCTTTCAAAGATTTATTTAAAAAAGAATATAACACAATAGACTGCAAGTTGAAGGTCACACGTTTCGTTATAAAACATTCATTATTTCTTGAGGAAAATAAAGAAAAAATATAAATTTAAAAAGGAGAATGTTAAGTTTTTTTTGCTGTTTTTTGACTGACACTTGTAAAGAAATTCTGTGTACAAATTATATATTGCTTTCCATTTGGTGACACAAGTCGTTCTGTCTTTATTACGCATTAAATATCAAGAAAAGTAGAATAATGTTTGTGTCGCCTTTTGTCATTAAATGAAAAGCACTCATTAAAGGATTAGTTAAGCGGAATCGGGTGGTATATCGTTTATCTTAGGGAAACATCAGGGACATGGAAGAAATCATGATTAAAGACAATAATCTCACATTTATTAATAAATTGTTAAGTAATCATCAAGACATCGGAAATTAAGCAATAACCATTCTATTATTGTTACTTAAAAACGTATAATTTAGAGAGCATTTTCGGATTATTAACAAGCGACAAAGAGTTTGAGGTAAGTTGCGAATCTTTCTCCTTGACTTTAAATAACATGAAAATATTTCTTATTAAGTTATATGTATTTAAATAATACAATCATTATTAAAAAATAATAATTCTTGTTGCTTAATTCCTTGGATCTTGCTCTGATTTTTATTGTCTTTGATCACAATTTCTCTATTCTCGATGTTTCTCCAAGATAAGCGTTATAGCACTTAATTCTGTTTACGTGATATGTAATTTGTACATCTCAGTATACATAGTCGGTTCTTTTCTATTTTAAAACTGTCTTAAATAATGTCTTAAGATAATAATACTTAGTTGGCTTATGACATCTTAAGACTATATTTAAGATCTTAAAGTCTTAATTATAAGAACCGATTATAAATACCGATCTAAGAATTCTTCTCATGTTAGCCGAAAAATAGCCAAAACTTAACATTTTCATCTTAAGATAAGAATGTGGTATAAGCTTTAAGATAAAAAACATACTGTAAAAAAATAATAACACAATAATAAAATAACAATAAAAGATTCTAGAGACGGAGAGTTGTGACATATAATATTAGTTGTAAAAGATTCTTTTGTTTTAGCCATTTCTGATTAAAACATTTTAAAAACCATGTGCTTTGATTAAATAGCAGGAAATTCTTATCGAAAGAAACCGTTTTGCTTATTGATAACGTACTTATTATTCTAATGAAAATGACATTTCATCGTTCCAACGTTTCATCCTTTTGATGACATTAGCAAGGTTTTTTCAATACAATTAGAATGTCGCAATATTGCTGCAATATTGTTGGAATGTTTTGTACTAGAAAATATTCAGTAGAAAAGTTTCGATTTGCTTCTGGCGTTACGTACAGGATTTGCGTATTATATAGGATGAGTAGTAACAAATTATAAAAATAATAAAGTTAATAATTTGCAACTTAACTTATAACTTTAATTAGTTATTTTGACTATATTAATTTTTTTCTTTCTTTTTTTAAATTATAAATCAAAAAAATTTTCGTTTTTTAAAAAGCACTAATATTTTTTTCTTTTATAAAATTTTGAACATTTAAGAATATTGAACAATAATCTATCATGACTGTATCGTTATAGTCATGTAATTTTGTTACTTTGAATAGAAAAAAATAAAAATTTTATTAACAACTGTGATGATTTAAAAGAAAAATTAAGTAATAAAAATTTAAAAAATAGTACTTTTATTAAAATCCAATTATTTATAACGCGTATTCTATGTGTTATGTATAATTAACGTTATTAAATTGATTTTAACCGTTAACTTTAACTTAACTACTTTAAAAGAAAGTTTTTTTTTCTTTTAACTACGTTAAAAGAAAAAAAACTAACTTACTCAATCCTGGTATTACATTATTATGCAACAAAAAAAGAGGTAAAAACATCAATATATGTATGTGCAAAATGATTATAAAAGCAACAAAGTTTCTCGCGTAATGTTATTCGATTATTAATATTAGACGTTTATTAAACATTTATTATTATATATTAAACATATAGTGATACATTTGATTAGATATATTTAATATTAGATAAATTGTAAAATAATACTAGGTTAATATGCATATAAAATCTACACATTGCATTCAATGTCACTGATCGGAAATCATGCGCGAACGAACAAACATGACTTGATTAAATTGAAATCGAACGATTCGCTGACGTTGGCACAAATATTAGTCTATTCATTTTATTCTTTTTACATTTTGTCATTTTCCAATTTCTTTCCTCAAAACTCAAATGTTCAAATATATTATAAATTTTTGTATTTTATATAAAGATAATATGTAGAAATATAAATATGAAATAATGTATAAATGTACAGTTAATTTTTATAAGTATCAATAATATAATAAATATAATTAAATAGACTAATTTTCTCTTATTTAAATACTTAGGAATTGAATTGGAATTATAAATTAGCAAATAAAATTCCTCCGAATAGTAGCACGTGTAACGTCGCGTGATAGCTGTAAGAATATAATCTTACGTCATATTGATACGTCTACATCGATTCATTATGAATGCTTATACGCAAATTTAGTTTGAATATTTTGAAATATTATTATAATATTATATTATTTAATTCGAATTAATTAGCTTATAAAATTTTATCCTTAAATATTAATACATGAAAATATTCATGTTTTTGTATATAATAATAATAATATTATTATAATAATATAATAATTGGAGATTCCATCCCAGAAAACATTAAAATTAAGAGAACAAAATGAGAAAAGACATTTTTGTTTGTAACATATGCATGTTTAAAATTAATTTTATTTATATAACATATTTTGCAGCTTTCAATATGAGATGTTTTAAAAATGTCATAAAATCGTTCTTCTCTTTTACAATATTTTCATAATTTAGGATCCTAGAAGTCTCAGTCCTGTATTGGATTTTTTTTTTCATCAAATAATATTGAATTATCGTATTATGATATATAATATACTTAGAATAATTTCGATGTGTGTACAAAAATCATAATTATGATTTTACATGTAAAAACCTTCATTTTTTAAAAGAAACTGTTTCAAAATGACTTTCTTTGATTATTTACAGTAGAATAAATTTTATAATTTTATACATGAGCTTTCCTGTATCCATGTGTTGATTTTAAACAAGATATAAGGTTTATGTACATCTATGAGATATCTGAAAGAAAATATGAGATATTTTACCGATGTCATAAAATTCTTCAATCAGTTTTATTCTATTTTTGTAATATTAACACCTTTAAAGTATCTAGTTATCTAATTGAATTATTGTATTTACGTCAATAAAAGATTGGATTATTGTATTAAGATATAACTCACTAAGATAGTCCCAATGCGCATAAAGATCAAGAATTTGAATTTTGTATATGATTTACATAAGTGTTGCACGATTTTTATTAAAATTTAACTAACTTTAATGTTTAATTAAAAATTATTTGTTAATTGAAGTTTAGATAAATTTAAATTAAAAAATACAGTTTTATTTATAATTTTTGTACACGCAAAAAACAGATTAGCCAATGAAGCTAAAATATAGCTATGGCAGCTAAGATGCGTACTTAAAATAGGGACAGCTAATATCGTTGTTGCTGAACCTAAATTTATTAGTTATTAAAATGTAGGTGCTGCAGTAAAAAAATTTGCTAGAATCAAATGACGTTTAGCTACTTAATCCGATTGAGGAATATTTAGCAAAACTTTTAAAGTTTTCAGCAAAGTTATTCAATCCGTGTGCCACTTTCTTAGCTACTCCTGTTAAAGTACGCTTTTATTTTAGCTAATAAAATTGTATCTCACAACAAATATATTTTATCTTTAATAGCTAATTTTTAGCAATGACAGCAAAGTTCAAACTAGCTACTGATATTTAACTGATAATGCTAAGTCATTTTTTTGCGTGTATTTTGCCTGTTTCAAAATATTTTAATATTTATGTTTTATGCATAGTAACC